ATTTTAAGAACCTTTGCTTAGTTTTCTCCCAGCTTTCATCTGATGAGCCCACCATGTGTTTTGTGACATAAACTAGAATGGATCCAGAAACATTACAGTGATTAGAAACTACAGTTACACACTGGTGTCGACAAGGAGTTGGACTTGCCCTTGAAAATGGCAGCACAAGGAAGAGTGGCTCAGGCTCCGGGTCTTTCAGGGACTGACAGGACTTGGGTGAGTAGGTAGGTGGGGTGCTTAAGCCTTGGACACCTGAAGAAACTAGGAGCCCCTCTGGTAAAGAAAAACAAGAAAACTTTGTTCATTGCTGCTATCTTAGATCTGGTTCCCCTAGAGCAAATGCTGAGGTGAAGATTGGTGTTCAAGTGGTTCAGGAAATGAGCCAGATTTCAAAGCAAAGCGATGAAGGACTGAATACCAGGCACAGGTGCAATCTGAGGTGAGGTCCCAGCCTCGGCTCACAGGTGTTCTGGAACATTCCTTACACTGCACAGTCTGCCCCATCGAGAGGCAAGAAGTCACTGGGTCTTCACACTTGTGCCCCAGTCCTGAGTCATGACCTTGGCTCCAGGTCATGCTGGGGACCACTTCAGCTGTCAGAGAGTAGAGGCAAATTGGTTCCATTTTCTCATGGGTCCTCTGAGGTGGGTTTCAAGTAAGAGCTGTTAGGAGCAAAACACAAGCAGAAGTTGTGGACTAAGAGCCCAGAAACATCAGCCGGATCCAGAGGAATGGGGTGGAGCATCTACACCATCAGTTATAGTTTCCCCTCCAGGCACAAGCCTCTGAAGTTTTTATATTTTATTGACTTAACTATAGGAAAAAATATTATCCCCTCTAACCTTGGCCCTCTGAGGATCAATGCGTTAGTAGCCTCCCCCCACCTTTTCATCTTTAATAAGCAGTGCTGCTGTCACATATACTATTCTGAAATAATTATCCTTGCCAGCCTCTTTTTCTCAAGAAAGTGTCCTATAATTAATAAAGAATTATATATACTCTGCTTTGCGTGTCAGGTCGTGGAACTGCATGTAGGTCAATACCTTGTTAATAATGAGCAATGGCTTATATTCCATGTCAGGAGCTCCGTGTGGAACAGATAGACGACACATTCTGCTGACTCTTTGGAAGGGTCTAAACCACTGGCCATCTTTTATCTGCCTTCTAATTTTCCCTTCTAGATTTATTTAATCAAGGTAAAGAATAATTCAAAATGGAGATAGTTCCCAGGACTCACAGCCACATTAGCAAACGTGGTCCGTGAAGGGGGACTTTGTTACCCTTGAAAAATGCTTATGCTGTCTATCAGAATTAATGGAGGTCATTGTGCCTGTGAGACCTACCCAAGGTGGAGATGTGATCCTTTAGAACTGAGCTCCCTGTTAAATTTAAAATACTCTGTAGGAGGTTTGGAAATACATACTTGCTTTTGGGAACGTCTTTCCAAAAATTCATTTCCAAAATAGGATTGGAGTTATTCTTAAAATAAAATCCCAGATTTACTGTTTTTTAGGAGATGGTTGTCTGCCTGCTTTGTTTCCTTTCTTTATTTTTATTTTACCTTGTCTTTTATTTATCAGTCATTTATCGAGTGCCCACTGCGGGTCAGGCACAGTGATAGTGGATAGTTGGGAATAAAATATAGGAAGTCTCCCCTTATTGAAGTTTTCATTCTAGAGATGGAGACCAAAATTAAGTGCACACACTGAATTTATAATCCATGGAAAGTGCTGTGGAGGCAATGCAGTGAGCAGAGGCAAGAGAGCAACCACAGAGGCTACAGCCGGTGGGAGGTGTCTTTTGGGAGGTGCCACTGGGAGATGGAGCCAGTTAGTTCTGCAACAGTCTGGATGTAGAATTTTCTGGATAGAAGGAATAATGAATGTGGAGCTCTCATATCAGCAACTAGCTGGATGTGCTACAGAGAAGGTGGCCAGTGTGGCTGGAGAGGCACAGGGGGAGGGTGACCATGAAGCCAGAGAGGACAGCAAATACCAGCTTATTCGAGACCCCAGAGCCCACAGGGAGGAGACGGATTTTGGAGAATTCTTTCGAGGGTTTTAAGTCAAAAAGTGACTTGATCTGATTTATCTTTAAATAGATAGTTGCCTTCTTTGCTGCTGGTGATTATGTGAGTAGAAGCAGAGAGACAGACAGGTGGACAAGGGCAGCAGACACAGTGGCCAGGGATGCCAGGGACTCTGCAGACACTTTAGAGAGGGACACAGGACATCAAACTTTGCTCGGCCTTAAATTTCCTGTCTGAAAGATGGGGATGACATTCACATACCTGCCACACTGTGTTCTCATGAGGATTAAATGCATCAATATATTTTTAAAAAATGTTATTGAGACAATGTTTGTACATCTTTATAGGGTTTATTATTGTTAGTTCAATGTATGTGTATAACGTGTGATGACAGGATAATAAATATTTCTCTTGGAACACTGATCTTTTTTATGGACTGGAAATTTCATACTCTTCTAGTCACTTTGAAATATACCATAGATTGTTTAAATCAACTATTACCCTACCATGCTATGGAAGAACCTGAACTTCTCCATCTTCTGAATATTTTCTATCTCTTATATACTTTATTTTCATGTTCCCTTGCCTCTTGATCTTCCCCGTCTCTAGCAATCCCTCTCCATTTCCTTTTTCCGTGAGATTGACTTTATTAGTTTTTACAAATGAATGAGAACACGTGGTATTTGTCTTTATATACGTGACCTATTTCATTTCACATAATGACCTCCACTTCCAGCCATGATCTTGCAAATGACAGGATTTCATTCTTTTTTTAAAAATATGTTTTTTTAGTTGTAGATGGGCATAATACCTTTTTTTAAAATTTAATTTGTTTATGTGGTACTGGGGATAGAACTCAGTGCCTCATGTATGCCAGGCAAGCACTCTATCACTGAGTCACAACCCCAGCCCCAGGATTTCATTCTTTTATGACTGAATAATATTCCACTGTGTGTGTGTGTGTGTGTGTGTGTGTGTGTGACATTTTCTTTATCCATTCATCTGCTAATGGACACCTAGGTTGATTTCCATATTTTCGCTATTGTAAGTAGTTAAAAGCATTAGTATTCACTTCACATAAATTTCTCCTAATAATTTTGTGTAAATAGTAATACATATATGTATTTCTGTTACTCTTATTGCATATAGAAGGGACAAATTCAGGATGACAGTTGGGCTGAAGACTGAACAATGCAGCCTGCTGTCTGTGGGCATGGTAATATCTGGGATACTTTAAAGATGAGGAGGCTCTTGATCTAATTGTGTTGCTTTTCATGCTGACCACAAGCCAATAACTTGCTTAACGTTGTCTCACCTTGCCTTATCTACACATGGGGCACATAACGACTACCCTTCCTATTAACTTCCAGTGAAGATACTGTGCTAATTAGCTTTGCATCACTGTGACCAAAATATCTAACAAGAACAGCTTAGAGGAGGAAACATTTAGTTTGGCTAGTGGTTTTAGAGGTTTAGGCCATGGTCAGCCAACTCCATTGCATTGGGTCCAAGATCATGGCGGAAGGGCATGATGGAGGAGCACTTCTCGATTCCTAGTGGCAAGGAAGCAGAGAGAGAGGTTTGCTAGCTACATCCTACCTGCCTATAGTCACCACCCATTACAATAGTCCTTTCAAACCATTAAGCCATCAAATGGATTAATCCACTGATTGGATTATGGCTCTTATAATCTATTCATATCACCTCTATTTCTGAATTTACTCACACATGAGCTTTTGGGAGATGCCTCATATCAAAACTATAAACAGATATGAAGTTAAACTGCACATTAAATCTAACAGTCTTTGCATTTCTCAATAGAGAAGTTATTACTTTTATCACAAATGAACAAGGCAAGAATGACTGACTTATGCAAAAAGGGACATGGTTTTCAGCCTATAGTTGATGCAATTGAAATCCAAGTGTCCTGCTATTTATGTTTGTTTCTAAGGTGATGTGTAAGCAAGAACAAAAGAAAGAGAGGGAAATGGTTGCTGTTGGAACATTGTCTGATAAGATGGTCAGACAGGAGGAAAGAGGAGTAAGAATTGGGGCAGAAAGGACAGCATCTAATGTAACATATAGAGGTCTTCTTTACTCTGCACATAAAAAGAATAATGTGGATACTATTTAAAAAAAAAAAGTTCATGAGTGCAGAAATCACTTTCATGAACTCAGAAAAGAAATTTTCAATAAATGACTTTTTATTCTTGGAATCTGGAACCCAGGTTTAAATCCTGGTTCAGTTTACTAACAATTGTATGCATATGATTTTGGGTTAACCACTAACTTTTCTAAATCCTAGCTTGCTTCTCAACAGCATTTCACCTCAGTGTTGTTGGAAGAAACCAACAAAGACCATATATGAAAGAAAATCTTTCTGTTTTTATTATTATTATTTATTATTAATAATCAACCAACTGAGACAGAGGGAGCCATTTGGCTCTTGTCATTGTTTTCATTCGAAGGACACTTTAAAGGTGTTGACCCAGGGAGAATCAGGGAGTTTTGTTCTATAATTCGGATAATAAGAGTGTGATCATTTGACAATGTCATGTAAATATAGGATTCATTTTAGTTTTGCCCTTCAAATGGTTCTCTTCCTTAAAGTGGCCTGTTTGCAGAAAGATGGTACCTGTATCTTGAATTCTTATTCTAAAATGCCTTATTATGCATGTGAGTTTGGGTTAAAGGTGTCAAATTAGAATCAACTCCTCCTTCTTTCAGCCAGGGCTGTGGGCATTGGTGAAGGGAACAGGCTTTTGTCCTCTTGGCTGGTCTGAGTCACAGACCTTGAGAGCCTTCTGAAATGCATACAGCCAACTTACTCTCAAGATAGCTTTCAGTGTAGTATCGCTCCATTAGAGTGAGAACACCAGGTTCTTTCAGAGCACACACGTCGAAACAAACAAAACCTCCTTCAAAGCCCTCTTCATCTGTTCTTGCTCTCTCTCCCTTCGTTTGTCCCTAGGGAAGTGTGAGATCGGCTGGGCCTACTACTGCACGGGAGCAGGTGCCGCTGCCGCCATGCTGCTGTGCACATGGCTGGCTTGCTTCTCGGGCAAGAAACAGAAGCACTACCCATACTGAGGTGGAGCCATCAGGAGAAGCCGAAGAGAAGACAGGCCACAGGGGCTGGAAGGGGCCAAAACTTCCGGCTACTTCTAAAAGGTGGAATAGTGGTTCTGATTCAATACCGTGCTAATGAAGGGAAACCCGATGGAACAAGGAACTTTATTGAGGAAGGGAGGGTGGTGGGAGGCTGGTGACAGAAATGGAGAATGATGGAGGAAAGAAAATATGGACCAAAGGCTAAGAGTTGCAGGGTATCGGGTGTTTCTATTCCACACAATATTGTCAGCATATATCGCATACACATGCAAAGCAAATCTATATATGCAAACAAGAATTTTGGTTGCTTTTTTTTTTAATGGCGAGGACTTGGGAGAATCAGAAGGGCTAGTAGAAACAGTATTATGTGGGAAGCAGGGTACCCCACAAACGTTCCCTGTAGGTAATGCCACTCCTGAAAGCACACGAGCACACACGCAGATACACATCCACACATGCCCACGCAACACACGTAAATCATCACAGACTGTGGGGGAGGGGTTCCCTAGTGCATTACTCCTCTGTTTTCTTTTTACTATCCATTGAAAACACCGTATTATCCCTTTATAAAACATACATTAAACCTAATAAATGGACCAATATGCCACTATATCAGTATTTTGTATATCCTGCATAAACTCTTTAGCCACTCTACATGTTCTCAGTGTTTATGCAGGCTTTTAGAGTTAAGCCTTCATATTTCAATATTATTCAAAGGTATGCAACATTTCTCTGAGTAGCTTCTGATATGATATTCTTATGAAGTCAAGGGGCAAATTTCTGTCCACTGTAGGAGAGACTTCCGTTGAGGAGGTGAGAGTCATGAGAGACATTTTCCAATCATTAGATCTTGTTTTCTTTCGTCCATTATTGTACTGTGCTGTACCACATTTATTTCAATATTCATTTTGTAAAAAAACAATTAAAAAGTGCTATTTTGTTTGTATTTGAAAAACTCTGTGAATAAATTTCTCTCTTTGTTCAATAGCTAGATGAATCCTAGAGTGTTCATTCAATTATCTGGTCTGTTTCTTTAATTTCTTCAATATAGCCTTCCAATTGCAACTGTCCTATTAATCTTCCTCTTCTCTTAAGACCTCCCATTATATCACTCACTGATTATTCAACCAGGAATTGTTCTAGACATACAGTGTATTTAAGGTGAGACACAGTTTCCATTTTCAGCTTAAATTCTTTGCAACCAGCATTATAACTTCCTGTGCATTGAATTTCAATCATAACCAAATTCTCAAAAGGATCTAGAAATTTGGGTCATTTAAGAAAGATTATCTTGTACTCCTGCTCATAGCAGAAAGCAAGACTTGACTAAGGAAAAGGGTTGAGATCCTTTCATGACCCTCCTAACAGAACCAGTTCTACCAGGAGCAAAAATTGCGTATTAGATAATGGATACATTCTTATTATGCAAGTCTGAGGTGTAGCAAATACCTACAAATTCGGTTTCGATTAGTTTCTAAATTACATGCTTTTCATATTTGGAAATGGAACAGTATAGCTCTTTACACATGTAACTACATTTTCTATAGTCTGTATACATATTTATCAATTTAACTTAAACATCAAACTTACTTCAGTTACTTTTAATCATTTCAGGGTGAGGATCCATGCTGCATTGTTCTTGCAATGCAAGAATCTCACCAATAAAATTCTGGATTTTCTGAGGCTTTGTTGGTATAGAGAAAGTCATTCCACTCTCAAATGCTGCATTTGTAACGTGCTGAATGTCCTTTGATTGTGTCTCATTGTCTGCTGAGCAAGGGCTTCTCCACTCTGTGGTTTCCTGCAGAGAGGAGAAGATTGCACTTTGCTTCCTCAATTAGCCCATCATTTTCATGAATTGTTGGTGCTTTTCATTTTTTTTTAACCTTCACCTTCCTGTCAGAATAGTATTATGACTTTTCAGCTTCCATTATTCGGTCAGACTTCTCTATGGAATTCATCAAGGTCTCATTTCTTGGACATGCCTACCGATGGCATTGTCATTTTTCATGTAGTCCATGTGATTTTAAACATTAGAGAGATTCATTAAAATAAAAAGCTGATCACTTTACATGACAAAGTCAAATGACAATCTCTTGTGTTACAAGTCCTAGCTAATCATAGGATTTTTTTTTTTCTTGCAGGATATTTTTGAGAAGTATCTAAATTATTTTTTTTTTCATTTTAAACAAGAAGTTTATTTAAACAACAAGACGCTTGACTTGAAGGGAAAACTATCTAGGAATCTTTTTTAAGAGTAATTTACCCCTACTTAAAGACAGATTGCCCTACATGTAACAGCTACGTACAAAAAAGTTATAAAATTGTCCTTGGTTTTACAATGATAAATGAAAAACATTAAAATTCTCCAATCGAACAAGGTATGCAAGGATTTTTATGTTGTTCAGGTTTTTTTTGTTGTTGTTTTTTTTGTTTTTTGTTAAAACAGTGAGAGCAAAATAACTTACTGGAATATAAAGATAAGAGCTGAATGAGCATGCCACTAATGGAGAAAGGGGATAGTTTCACAGAACCAGTATTTTTCCCCATCCCATCTCCATTTGATGTCAATCAAAACATATCATTGGCCATTTAGTTTTAAAAAAAATGCAATATGCTTGTGCACATACACCAGTTACTTTATGTACAATAAAGGAATGGGGAAGGGGAAAATGAAAGAATAAAGAAAACTATACTGTAGTAGTCAGGATGTGGTGGAACCAAATTGCAGTTTTCTAATTGAGAATGTATTCTTGGTCTGTAAGAACAGAGTTCTGGAGTAAAGTAGCAGGTTCCCTTTTTAGTAGACACCTCCTGTCTGCTGCTGGAACACATCAATTGTATCTTCATCCTCCATTTCCAACTGTGCAGGTGTGTCTGTTTCATTAATTGGCTGCCCGTCAAATCGGAATCTGATCTGCCTCATCGACAAACCCTGTCGTTCACAATATGCTTTCATTAGTTTACTAAGTGGTGTATGCCTCTTAATCTTAAACTGCACCACAGAACCATCCTGCCCCGCCACCTTCAAGTTAATATGATCGTTGTTCTCATTCTTGACTCCTTCCTTGGGCTTTTCGTCGCCATGGCGAGCGCCGGAGTCTCCTCAGCTGCCGCTTCACAAAAGAGGTACCAGGTCCGCACCAAACGAGCACACAAGCAGCTCCAGGAGCGGCAGAAGCTATCTAAATTATTAAGGATCATATATACTGCTTTTGAAATGAAAATCAGGATTCATGAAACAATAACAAAGTGTGTGAAAAGTGTATCCAGATGCTCTTCAACTTATGAGGGGGTAACATTCTGAGAAAACCATCAGAAAGTTGAAAATATTGTTAAGTCAAAATGCAGTTAAGAACTAAGGGTGTATTTCAGTGGTAGAGCACTTGCCTAGTATGCATGAGGTCCTGGGTTTGATCTCCAGCTCACCCCACCAAAAATATTTTTAGCACATCTAACCTATCAAGCATCTTACCTTAGCCACACAGTCCATTGTAGGGTACCAGTTGTTTACTCCAGTGTTGCATGAATGACCAGAAGCTGTAGCCTGCTGTCACTGCCTAGCATCACAAGAGAGTATCATAGCATATCATAACATCCCTAGCCCAGGAAAAGATAAAAATTCAAAATGCATATTCACTATTTTAAAGTTAAAAAAATATTATGCCCAATATAAAGCCAAAAACCCCATCAACCAAGCTATTTTGAGGGGTACTATAGATATTCATAGCATTCTTATTTGTAAACACTTAAAGGAGGAAAGAAAAACCCCATTTTCATGGTTTCAAAAACTCCTTGCACGGATGTGGTGGCGCGCTCCTGTAATCCAGAGACTCAGGAGGCTGAGGCAGGAGGATTGCAGGTCCAAAGCCAGCCTCAGCAACTTAGCAAGGCTGTCAGCAACCTAGCGAGATCCTGTCTCAAAATTTAAAACATAATATAAAAAGGGCTGGAGATGTGTCTGAATGCCTAAGCACCCTTGGGTTCAATCACTTGTATAAAACAAACACAAAAAACAAACAAGCAAGAAAACATTTCATTGTTTATAAGTGGGAAGTTAACCTCATTTTCAGGTAGAGAAAGGGTCATACAAAGCAGTTAATCCATGACATTTAGTCAACCCTTCCAGGTTTCAGCAATTCATTTATGTATTTGGGCAGCAACCATTGAGCACTGCTACTTGGTAGACATTCTACAAGATACAAACACTAAATACAATACAGCCCTAGTCTCAGATTGGCCCTGTGGTTGTGGTGGAGAAAGTAACAAGAATGTCAGTGAGTACCATGACCTACGATGTCAACCTACCCCCAATGGGAGGGTAGGTTTACCTGGGAAACAGTTTCTCCCAGGTAAAGAATCTAACACAACAAAATAAAAAGGCATAAAGACAGATGATAATACAATTTTCCTGGAGCAGAAATATTGGAAATATTGGAAAAAGGTATTCACCTGTGAAGAAGTAAAATCAAGAATCAATAAATGGTATGGTATCAAACTAAAAAGCTTTTTCACAGCAAAGGAAATAATCAAGAAGGTGAAGAGAGAGCCTACAAAAGGGAAGAATTTGTATGTAGAATCCATATAGAACTGCTACAAAAGAATCATAAGAAGACATACCAATTTTTTAAATGGGCAGAAACTTGAATGGGTTATTTCCTAGGAGAGGATATACAATGACTGCTAAATTCAATGGAGTGGGGGCCAACATTAATTGAAAAGAAAATGAAACTTAGAGATCTACAATGAAACACCAGTTAACATACACTAGATGCCTAAAAAAAATAAAAATTGACAACAAATGTTGTCAAATACATGAACACATGATTAGAAAATAATAGTTTCTTATTATATTACCCCTAATAATTCCCTTCTAGGTATTTATGCAAAAGAAAAATATAATCTCAAGATGATTGTATAAGAATGCTTATTTTAATTATATTTATCATTTCCCTAAGCTGGGAGCAACTCAATTGCCCACCAATGCATAAACATATTGTATATTTAAAGGTGGAATGCTAGCCAGTAATATAAAGGAGTGAACATCTGGTACATACAATGATATGAATGAATTTCACAGGTGTGTTGAGAAAAAGAAGCCAGATACACAGGCAAAGAAATATATGGTGTTAGAAGTTGCAACTGTGTTTTTCCTCTTGTGAAGGTGGAGGGATTGAC